CATAATTGATTAGTGATGTCTGCCATTGGCACCAGAGGAGGGAATTGTAGCATACAACATTGTTCTAGTCAGAAGAATGACTCCAACATTATGTAGAGAATGACATTCCATAGGCCTAGCTAAGAGTGTTCAGTGCAAGCTCACGCAGGAACCACACAGCTAAAGTGAACTGTTTTTTGGATTCCTTTTTTCTAAACCTGTATTTGAAGATACAGAAAGGATTTATATATGTTAAGAGTGAGGAAAAACATGCACCAAACTTTTTAATCATTTAGTGTTGTAGTCCCATTTTATGCTTAAGGCAGTCAAAATAACCAGATTAAATCTAACTGGAAGGGTTCTAAATTTCAAAGTTAAGAGTATGAAAGAACTGGGACCAGCAGATGGCGTAATATATATTGCTGGACTCCCATGCAGTCAACCGTGGTTTGAATCCCAGGCCCGGTGGCTTAAAACTCATGCCAGGAGCACATGTGTACATGCCCAAAATCCTGACAGGAGAATGGAGAAGGGATTGTGACTTGGCCATCCCCCTTGGGGGGTGATTTCTCACTTTCTATCTCTTTGTCTCTCTTTATCTCTTCAGTAAGTGCACTTGTCCTATAGTAAAACTCTCTCTAAAAAAAAAGGAATATGAAAGTACACACACACACACACACACACACACACACACACACGCTCAACTACCATTGTTATTAGTGTTGCATTGAATGTAAAGAAAACTACACCTGATACTTTTTAACTATCACCATAGGAAGGGAGCCCCTTAAGGAGGATATTTCTCAGTAAGCTGCTACGACATTGAATTACAGGTAACTCACATGTTAGACCCTTCAATTGAGTTTCTGGAATGTTTCCTGAAGTGATTTGAATTGGGGAAGGCGTATCCTATCAGTGCAGCCCACAATGTAACAGAAAGAACCAATGCCTAGAGAGGTACTGGACATTCAGTAAGGGGGAAAAGACACTTTGGAAGTGCCCTGGAAGGGGTACTTTTTCCTCCCAATCTGTGGCATGTAGTAGAATGAAGGAAGTTTCACGAAATCTTAAGTAGCATTCCAGATTTCAAATCAGAAAGCATAATTTATATGTGTTTGTATTTCTGGGTCTACCCACTGACTAGCCTAGAGAGGAGGTTTGTTAAATATTTATTGAATGACCGTTTGACAGAATAAATAATAAAGAATGAATAAATGAATACAGAGAAGAGTTAGTCCCAGGTCAGACTCGTCACAGAGATAGTGTGAGGTCATTCTTGCCTTCACGTCTGGCTGAGTAGATACATGCTTAAAAAAAACGGAGTCCAGAAAATGAATTCTTATGCACTCATACAATTCTGAAATGCCACGATTCCAGAGTTCTAATTATGCATGATGCAAATTTCCTGCAACTCTATCACTAGGTAGAGTGAGCCAGGAGATGACATTCCTTTTCTTCTTCTCTCTCTCTCTTATTTTTTTATAATTTTATTTTACTTTATTTATTTATTTAAATTTGACCAGAGAGGGACAGAGCAAGAGAGGAAAATGGAGAAAGAAAGCCACTAGGTCCAGGACTCGAATCATGATCAGTTATGTGGGAGTCCAGCACCCTCAACCACCATGCCACCTGCAGGCCCCCCCTTTTCCTCTTCTCTATCTGTAACTTCTCTTGCCTCACTAGAACATTTGTACTGACACTTGGAAAAGAGCAATCATTTTCAGGATGAACTAAGTAGGTACTTCTTAAGATCTCTCCAGTAAGATATGTGACAAACGTGACCACTCCTCTTTTCTTCTTCAGTGACATGTAAGTTTGCATAACATTTTGGACAGACCCCATCTTAACACTCCACTTAGCAGACATAATGGGTTGAATTATGTCCTTAACCCTACCCGCCAGTCAAAAATCAGTTATGTTGAACCCTAACCTCTATCTCCCCAGAATGTGATTTTGTTTAAACATGTGGTATCTGGGACCAGCAGACTGCATAATGGTTACATCACTAGACTCCCACGTAGTCAACTGTGGTTCGAGTCCCAGACTGGGCAGCTTAAAACTCACATCAGGTGCATGTGAGTGCATGCCCATCAAAGGGAGAATGGAGGAGAAGGGATTGAGGCATGGCCATTCCCCTTCATTTTCTGTCTCTCCAGTGAGCGCATACACCTTATAGCAAAAGGTGGCATGGTGGTTAGAGCTGCTAGACTCTCACATGGCTGACCGCAGTTTGAATACCAGGCCTGGCAGCTTGCTTTCTCACTTTTTCTCTTTCTCACTCTGTCCCTCTCTCTGGTCAAATTAAAAAATAAGTACATAAATAATGTTAGGGACTAGCAGTTAGCGTAATGGCTATGCCACTGGACTCCCACGTGGTCGACTGCGGTTCAAGTCCCGGAGCCAGTGGCTTAAACTCACACTAGGCACATGTGCGTGCATGCCCAAGATCCCGAGAGGAGAATGGAGGAGAAGGGACTGCGGCATGGCTATCCCCCCGGAGGGTGATTTCTCGCTTTCTGTCTCTCTGTCTCTCTCTGTCTGTCTGGCAAGCGCACGTGCCCTATAGAAAAAAACCTCTCAAAATAAATAAATAAATAAATAAATAAATGAAGTTAAATGAAATAATTATTTAAAAAAATAAAGATGTGGTATTTGCAGAGTTAATAAAATGAAGTCATTAGGGTGGGTCTTCATCCCATATTATTGTGTTATTATAAAAATAAGGGCTTTGGAGACAGACACATACACTTGGAGAAAGCCATGTGAACACAAAGCCAGCCACTCGTAAGCCAAGGAGAGAGGCCTAGCACAGCTCCTTCCCTCACAGCACTCAAAAGGAACCGAACTTGCTAATACCTTGATTTCAGATTCCAGTATCCAGCATTGTGAGACAATAAATTTCTGTCATTTAAACCTTGCAGTTGGTGATACTTTGTTATAGCAGCCCTAGGGAGCTAATATATCAGGTAGCCAAAAATAGCCTCAGAAATATTTGTGTCCAGAAGTTACTTCTGAAACATTTTTGCTTACAGTCTGTACTATAATAGATGTTTTCTTTCTTCCTTCCTTTTTTATTCATCTGTCTATTACATTATAATAAACCACCATAACACCTGGATGCTAAGACAACAATGATCTATTACTTATTCTGTGAGTTGGCTGGGCTCAGCTACATGGTTCTTCTGCTCACTGGAGCCCAATCTTGTGCTGAATTTACTTGAATGCCAAGTGGGCATGAAATGCTCAAGATGATGTCTCATCTTCCAGGATCTTTCTTCATGTGGCTTCTTATCTTTTGGCATTTTAGTTATCCAAGTTGCTTACAGGGAGGCTGGATCCCATGAAAGCAGATATAGAAATCACTAGGCCCTTTTAGGAGTAGACCTGGGTCTGGCACCACATCACTTCTGCACTTCCTACTAGTCCAAACAAGTCATAAGGCCATCCTAGATTCCAAGGGAGGACAAATAGACTCCATCTATTGTTTGGAAGAGTGGGACCAAAATTCGTGGCCATCATTAATCTATCTACCACCAGGATGCCATTTGTTCCCCTGCCCTTGCCTGTGCCCCCACTCTTCTTAAAGCTGCTTTCCCCATTCCTTACTACTGTTCCTTCTGCAAGTTCTAGCAAGCATAGCAGTGGTTTCAGCTATCCCACTCTCAATCTGAAGCATATAATTAAGAATTAGTTGGGACCAGCAGTTGGCATAATGGCTATGTCACTGGACTCCCATGTAGTCGACTGCGGCTCGAGTCCCAGACCTGGTGGCTTAAACTCACACCAGGCAAGTGTGTGTGTGTGCCCAAGATCCTGAGAGGAGAAAGAAGGAGAAGAGATTGTGGCGTGGCCATCCACCATGGGGGGGGGTGATTTCTCACTTCCTGTCTCTATGTCTCGCTCTGTCTTTCTGGCAAACACACATACATGACTTATAGTGAAGAACCTCTCCAAAAAAAAAAAAGAATTAGTTGCGGCAATGTGGTGGCACAGTGGTAATTCAATTAGACTCACATGGAAAGAGTCCCGGGATCCTATCCAAGGACCTTCCTGTATGTACCAGGCGTATACGGATGTGCCCATGACTCAGGCCAACTGAGGATAGAAGAGAATCTTGGGGTGAAGATCCTGCTGAGGGTGCCTATCTGTCTCTCTCTGTTTCTTTTTTTCATGGAAGATGGCTTCTGCCTACTACATCACTTCTCTATCTCCTTTTCTGTTAGCAACACAAGAAAACTAACATCCAGGTTGAAGTTCTCCATTTCCCCCCTTCATATCATCCCACCTGGTTAAGTATTTTGGCTAAGACTGCTGTCAAGATCCCTGATTTCAGTTCCCCATTGTTACCCTACTGACACCCAGGGTCACTATCTGACTGAGGGCCCTCTTTGATCATACTTGGTGTCAAAGTTTAGGTGGTGTCCCTAATCAAAGCCTGTGCTTGTTCTACTGATAATTGCCTAGATCCCCAAATCTTGTCTATTTATAGTATTTTATCAGAATAGATACTGTGATTCTGATCATTTCCAAAGCTGTGGTTGAGACTGATGTATTCCTTGGACACTGTGTCTGGTAAGCTTGAGTGTGCCTTGGAACAACCATCAACAGCTGCTCATTTTTTTCCCTGACGTTGTTTCATCCTGGTGTGAGTTTTCATGCCAGGAATGAACTTACTTTAACCTGCAGATTCTCCCAGCAGTTTTCAGCATACTAGAAGGTCCCTAGCTTAACTCTTATGTTTAGAGGCTTACTCGTGCCATCATTGCAAATGACCACTTGTCATATCTCCCACATATTGAGCAGTTCTGCTCCTTTCATCCCCAGACCCAAGCCCTCTCCTGCTATGAAACAAAGTAGGCGTGTGTGGGGCTTTCGGAGGGCTAGAGCTCTTCTTCCAGCCTAAACATTTGTCATGTTGGGCCATGGTGAGGTCGATTGTATCAACTGGAATCTTTGGCGGCAGATAGAAAACTCATCGAACAGGAGCGTACTGACAGGATGAGTATACTAGCTTAGGTAACATGAAAGTATGGGTGGGGAAGCCTTCAGATGAAGCTCAATTCAAAGTTCAAATGGTGCTAATGGGACTGTTGGTTCAGCCTGGCCCTCCTGTGGGGATGTCAATAGCCCTTCACAGGGTAAGATATCTGACACGTGGTGCCATTCTTAACTCCCTC